GAAACACCATCTTAATGGGAAAACGTATGCAAACGTGGAAGGTGTTAAAGAGGAGATCGAAATGTTTTTAGCTTCAAAGCCAAGTGATTTCTTTAATCAGGGCATTAACAACCTGATTGTAAGATAGAAAAGCATCATCGGTAAGAATGAAGACTATTTCATTTAATAAATGTTTTGTTTTGATATACAAGTTGTTTGGGTTTTTTCATCTAAAAAGAAGTGACATTAATTTCTTGACGACCTAATACATAGAAATTAATAACATCATCCTGTAATATTTGTACATTTTTAGTGTACTCAATTTGTGTAAAATTAAAACCTAATTTTGATTTTATATATTACAACAATGTCTTACCTAAACAAAACAAAACAATGGCATCATATTACATACTGTAGTTTATTTGTGTACCTAAACAAAACAATGGCATCATATTACATACTGTAGTTTATTTGTGTACCTAAACAAAACAATGGCATCATATTACATACTGTAGTTTATTTGTGTACCTAAACAAAAAAGAATTATCATTAATAAGTATATTTTAACAGCCATCCAACATCACAGACGACTTGTAAAATTAACTTCTACACACAACAGATTTAACAATAAGTTTTAAGTTCTTTTATTCACAAAACTATCATTAGTATTTTTGATTTGTGCCTCAGAAGTTGTAGTACTGAATGTGATAACTGATGTTTGGCAAGACAAATAAAGATCACAGTATATGTTTGTTTGTTTAGAATTTTTGTGCAAAGTTACACAAAGGCTGTGAAGAACTGTCTCTAATTTTGAACTGCCAGACTAGGGGAAGCAATCTAGTCGAGAGCACGAACCATCAACTGTTTTATCTGACTAAACAGTGGAATTTGATTATCATTCTTATAATGCACCCACGGCCTCAAAGTGCAGTGTACAATTTTTGTGGCAAAAGAACACAAACCATGAACTCTCGGATTAACAATCCAAACATGCTAAACTTTAGGCCACACCAAGCCCAACACAATAAATGAAATTCAGGTTACCTTTAATCCTCATTATTTACCTGGATGGTTTATTAAGGGGAAAAAAATAAAAATACCTTTTCTGGAGTCAAGGTTTTTACAGATGTAATGACTACTTTCTTTTTTAGGTCTTCCTCGTGTTCAGCCACACTCTTCTCAGAGGTTTTTACTGGAGTCTTCTGCTGTAAAACTGGTCTTGAAATTCTAGTCACTCCAGTAACCTTACTGGGTGCTTTATCAACTTTTGTGTTGATCACCTGTTGCTTGGGACTTGGTTTCACCTTTACAACAGGCTTGGTGAGAACTTCCGTTTCTGATTTTGTTACTGCGCCAAAGATCTCTTCTTCGTTAACAGTCCCGTGGTCTTCTGTTGTTATTGTGTCCTCACCAGATGAGTGCTCATCACCAAGAACCTCATCTTCATCTACCTCATCTCTTGGATCTGTTTGATCTACATCTGTGATGTAGGAACATAATTATTTTTGTACATATAGACTTAAATTTTACCAGTTCTAAAATATCTGGCACCAATTTTTGTGATAACAAATGCATAGATTATTTAAACATAAAAGGAGCTTAAATATGTTTGACATAAAACTAGAGAGGAGAGAGTAAGTAAACTATGTCATTTCGTTCAAGATTTACTTGCATGTTAAAGCCCAATCATAAACCATCATCTGATCTATATAGAGACTGGTTTGTCAAAAAGGGTGTAATAACTTCATCCTAAACGTGAACACTCTAAGAGAAAACCATATTATAGATTTATTGGCTCTGTAGCTCATTATGGCTATCACATTTTTAAAAAATGAAGAGGCGTCTCATTCCAGAAACATTTATCAAAATGTAACAAAAAGAATTTTAAAGACAACTTGAATGAGTAGCGAGGAAAACTTTAGAACAAGTTTAATGTAGTAATTTAGACTAAAGTCTTCTTTGTTATCCCTTCAAGCTGTCTCTAAGTTTGTTAATCACGATGGGCTATCTGTTCTATGCCCACAAAAATAAAACAAATTTTTTCCAGGCCTTACTTTTCAAAGATGGAAGAAATCTTTTATAAATTAATTTATATATACACCAGTTACAAATTAGGTAGAAAATAGTTACAATGTTTACATACAGGATTATTATCCAAAATTATAGTTTTTGAATACCAACAAAATTAAATCAAAGTAAGACTAAAGGCTTTATTTATCCACAAAACAATCTCTAAACAAATTATGGCTGGATAAGTTAACCTAATTCATTTCCATCAAGTTAAATGATCAGCTATTCGGTATGATCACGCATATCTACACGAATCTAAAGTCTTGTAATCCTGGCACTGTTTGTTTTAAATCTAATGATGAGGAGTTAACATCATCAAAACAGAATCACTCCTTTAGTATTTTGTTAATGAATGTATTTAGCTTAAGCAGCTTGTGCATACATATTTTAAAGTTGTGACAAATATTTGTTTTTGTATAATCAGCTATACCGACTCTAGAAAGATGTAAAATATCTAGAATTTTTTACATCATTTTCCACTTAGCAAGTCAGTTGAATATAAGATGGAATATATGTTTCTATAGAAACAGGTTTAACATACCCTTTGAAAGATGCATGGCTTCTTGAAGTCTCTCAATTAATTCATTTTTGTTGCCCGTAATAGGCAGACTTGAAAAAGGAGTTGAAATTAAGAGGCTTAGCTTAACATGTTTATGATTTAGGTTTTGAACACAGTATTGTTGACATGTATATCTATAACATAAAACAACAACAACAGCTAAGCCTCTTAATTTCAACTCCTTTTTCAAGTCCGCCACCTAAAAAATAAACATGTTAATTTGAACACAGTATTGTTGACATGTATATCTATAACATAAAACATTTTATCATAATACACAAAAAAAAACATGTAAAAAACTAACTTTTAGTGACCATCATTCAGTAAAAAAAAAATATACCCCATATAAAATGCGTCTATAGTTTGCCAATATTGCCTTTGTCAGATAATGAAAGCACACTCAAAAAACGTATTTTACATTTTGGTTTAGGAATTGTCAAGTATGTGTATGATTAACTCAAGTACGAGTTTTGTAAGGGTTAAAGTGACAAAAAGGTCATTTGGCTCATTCTGGCCATCACAACATCAGGTCATTTGGCTCATTCTGGCCATCCCTTAAACTAAACAGAGACTTGTAAAGTTGTTCACATCTGTATACTTGTGTCTAACTGATAAAAATATCAATTTAAACTAACAGTAATAATCACATATTAAGGCAAGCTATTATGCAAATTAATATCACTAACCAGGGAATATTGTTACCAAATACAAATATGGACTTAAATTCCAAGATCTTCTGACTTATTCCTTCCACCACTCAAACAGACAACCCACTGGTTGATTATACAAGCTGCAAAAAAACCTTGAACACCTGAATCGTACCATATCTCAGCTATACGTATTCAAGTTTGTGTACTAGAATTTCTTAAACCAAGCATTATTCAAATAGCTTGTTTCTGTAACATAAGCTTCATGTCCTGTATTTCTTACATTCATGTCAATCCTTCTCAATGACCCTGAGCAAGAAGACTGAGGAAGAATGTACAAAAACTTGAGTATAAATTAAGGTTTCATATTATTTTAGCCTCTTACCTTTGTAACACAACACTAAACTTACTTTAAAACCTTTTTAATTGTACATCTTAAATATTTTTATTACAGTTTCTTATAAAATTCAGTTTCACATCTCGTATAAAGTGGTGGTCTCCATTACTGCCAAATACTACTTATTCCGTAAGCCAATAACTCTGTTATAGAAATAAAACTGCCTCAACTAGTCTGGCCTGTCTTTTACAAATCCTAGATTTGTGTCCTCTTGTCCAATTGTTTTTAGAATATATCATAAAGAAATCCGAGACCTTTATCATATCATTCACCAGGATAATTCTGTAAATGTCAATAAGATCACATCTTCTCCCTCTTTCCTCAAGAGAAAATAAGTTAAGAACCTGTTAACTACAGCTGGGAATTTAGTGGAATTTGATAATTGATTAATCATTGAGTTCATTAATCGATTACATTCAACAAGTGACTAATCTCATGGGAGACTTTGATAGTTGGAAAAATCAAATATAGTAATATTCGGAAACACTAATTTTAATTAGTTGATTATATTTGTGAGTTCTAACACTAATTATTGCCATTATGATATCTCATTATTATTTTTGATTAATTTATCTTGATAGTTTCGATTATGTGGATAGTTGGAATAATGGAAAACACTAATTTTAATTACTTGATTATTTTCATGACAATACTCAATATCTCCATAAAAAAGACCTTCCATCTGTGTACCCTTCTCTGAATCCTTTCTAAAAAAGTCAATATCTTTTCTTTGATAAGGAAACTAACTTTACACAGTATTCAATGAGGCCTAACCAGTAGTTTGTATGGAGATAATTACCTTTTGACTAGTATGTCTATAAAAACATTCTAAAATTCTATTAGTTTTACTACTAGCACAGAACACTGCCTTGATAGTTATCCACCACTATGATAAGATCCTTTTTTTTTCAATTATGCTATTCGGTGAAATCATTTCTATATTAAATTTGTGCTTTAAATTATGATAAAAACAAATACATTACCATCCACTTACTATAATGAAATGTAATTTTCCAAGTATATGTCCACCAACTAACTGACTGAAGTCGTTTTGTAACATCTTAACACAACAAGACATAACACAAGCTTAATGTTATGTCTTGTTGTGTTAAGATGTTACAACAAACTTTCATAATTTATTGAATATACTCTACCAATATCATTAATGAAACGTAAAAGCCAAAACATTGACAAGAAGTCCTGGTGGACAGGACTTCATTATGATGAACATCTTGTTTTCTTTCATTTAAAGTAATCTTCCCTAATCCATACGAATTTCTGATATTGATAAGGTGCCACACAGAAGATTAGGTTAGAAAATCATATTTTTCGAAAACCTAAGCACACCAAGTTTACTTCCTTTCCGTTATCCGGATAACACATAAAATGTTGATGCAGTAAGTTTAAGAAAGATTAAGGGAAGGCTTGATAAATAATTAAACGATCAAGGATGAATTTCAGTTTGTTTTAAATATGGAACAGCATGTTGTCCTTTAGGTGTTTTGTTATATTAACTAAAGTTATTCTATTTTATGGCATTACTTTGCACTTCTTTTATCAGACAAAAATATTTCCCACTACACCAGTAAGGCTATCTAATCTATAGTTTCTAGGACAACTACTGAAAAATAGGAGTAACATTGACAAATCTCCAATCCTCAGGTACCTGTTCTTTGTCTATTGATAAAGACATTTTTGTCCATCAAAAATGATAAAGAAGACTACATTTATGATTTGTTTCTAATAAAATAAATGTTCTCGATTTGCTAAAAAATTTCCAGTGTATGGAAATAAACAAAATAAGCCTTCATTTTGTAAACTGCATTTTTATAATAAATCTTAATAAAAACACTAAGCTTAATATCATATTATAATGAAGTGTTAGGTTAAAAGGCTTACAAGTATATTTTGTCTTATGTTACTATAGAGAAATAGAAGCAATGCATATCTTCTTCCCCGCGAATATCAAGATTGAAACAGTCATTTACTCAAAATTACTATACACTGTTAATGTCTTTTAATATAATAATAATTAATATTAATAGTATGAAATACCGCAACACTTCAAACAAATTTTTAAACATAAACATTACTAAGTATTGTACTTGTGTCAATATTAATATCATAAAGTTATTGCTCTCTCGTAAAAATAATAAATATTAATATAGTGTAAAACCTTCATTCCTAACAAATCAGTTGTTTCCAGTAACACTTCAACCTCATCACCTGTTTCGTCCATTACCTTTTAATATTAGTAGCGTAGTGCTACCTAGGTAAGAAAACTAACATTTCTTCAAATTTCACATTTTTAATATTAAAAACTGCTATTCATAGTGATATAAAACATTGACGCCTAAGTTTAAAATCTTTATGATAAATATGTTAATTTTTGTAGTAACAACAGCAAATAAAAGTAAGTTTTTCAAATAGTTTTTTGTATCTAACACAGAATTAACTTAAATTGTTTAAACAAAGCAGATCTTACAATCATTTTTATTAGTATTACCAAAGTTACACACCAACGATGAAACTAAACAACTGATTTAACAATAAAATTTACTTTCTGTAATTGATACTTGAAACCGCCAGTACGTGGTGAAACTCCATAATTACAGAAATGAGGGGAAAAACAAAGACAATTGTACATTTCACAACCACAGTTTCGCCAGTAAAGGCATCACCATGTCTGTACCTGATGATGTCTTTATTGGCGAAACCATGGTCGTTAATTATTAAATGAAGTTTTTGCCTAATATATAAATGTCTTTGCTTTTATCATCAATTCCGTAAAATTTACTTTCAACTTAATATACTGTCTTATTGTTTTACGTTATAGTTTAAAGAATAACTATAATACAAGAAGTTGATTTAAATTAAAAACTAACAGGTATTTAAATTTTAGTATACGTTTTTTGTGTTAAATTTGAAGTAGCCTATTAATATTAACTTTCGAACAAAGTTAGCTAAATACTTAGAGCGAAACTAAATATGAAACAGTAAATGAGTATAGCTGATGAAATATACCTTTCTTACTTGTGAAGATTAGAATACATTGTTTCATCAGAGGGGCACTCTTGTACTTAACGACATTTTCGGCCATAGTCCCAATAGCATCTCACAAGGTTTTCGGCCAAC